CTCGGTTCACAGAGTCACAGCTCTGTTCCGCTCCAGGATTATGCAGATTCTAATTCCCTTCCGTTCACACCTGAGGGTGGCAGGGCATGAAATAAGGAAAAGTGTTCAGCGCGAATAAAAGTTTGGGGCACTAAGTGGGGGGAAAGAGAGAGGACAGGGAGGTCCTGTGAGGACGAAGAAAAGTGCTGGGTGCTTGGTCACTGTTCAGTGGTCTAAGTGGGTGAATGAAGAAGTGTTTCAAGAATAGTGAAATGAAAAATCTAAAATAACGAAATGTCAGTAATAAAAATAACCATTTTTAAACTCAGAGTTGAATAATATCTGTTCTGTGCTTTACGCACGAAGTCTGTGCGTAAAGGAACTGCGCCCACCTATGGATTGGTTTTAAAAGCTGTTTTTTTTTCTCCTTTATATCCTGATACRGCGGCATGATTTATGGTATCATGTAACGCAATAGATATTCGTGACAAGAGCAACCTGACCGAGCAGCAAAAGTCGACAAACCAGGCGCTTTAGCGTCGATTCTGATGCTGGAAAAGTTTCCAACACGCGCATGAGAAAAGGTAATCAACTTACGAAGGAATATTAATAATTTAAAAAAGGTTAACGGTCTTACCTGATGAAGCCTCCTTGGAAGAAGCAAAAAGACAAGACATACAGAATCCGAATGACTTGTGGGAGCATCCTCTGGCTCAAATTCTCCCCCTCACTCCCGCTGAAGAACTCGCAAAGAAAACGACAATTTCAAGAACCATCAGATCCACAGAGCTGCCGGGGAGAGTCGTCTAGAGGAGGAAGGCATCGTCTCTCGGAGAGATCCAGGCGTGTTTTGTGGGGAGGGAAACTTCACCGCCTCCCACCAAGTCCAGGAGGCTGAACGCATCAAGACTCAGCAGGCGCGCAGCTTCTGGACTGACGCTCCGGAGAGTCGCTGCTTGTGTTGAAGCGGGGAGACGGTTCGCATGTGTGTGTGCTTAAACGTATTGTTTCCACTCCATGTGCCCCCCCCCCCCCACCCCCCCACACACACAC